TTTTTTTTTTTTTTCATTTTTAATGTGACACTTCTAAATGCGCATCAAAAAGCCTCGATGGAAACACGGTTATGGAGTATGTGTGCTGTTATCTGCTGATAGCTACTTGACATTTGCAGCCCTCTGAACCTGAGGAGGATTTCTGAGCTGTCCAAAGAACTGAACTATATATAGTCTCAGTTGTGAAGGACTGATATTTTTGTCCCACTGACACATGTGTGGGATTCTCCTGCAGTTCTGTCATACCAGACGTGACTCTGCATACAAAAGGCTGATGGAAGATCCCACACATGGTTACATAGAAAAGCATGATGTATACAGAAATACATTAGACTGTAACCCTGGGTGTCATTATGCTCAAACGCATTTGTATGTTGTCAGGTTTTGAGTTGCAGTTCCGCTTGGGTCCAAGCCTTCAGGGGAGAAAGGTTATAGTTCACACCAACTACCCGCCTGAAGGACAAGCCTTTAACCGCAACAGCTTCCGTGTTTTAGCATGGAACTATCCAACAGGAAAGGAGGAGGATTCTGATAAGTTCTGCTCACTGGAGCTCAAGACTGCTGGATCCTACCAGTACTACTTTGGATACAAGTAAGACTGTTTAACCTGAACAACTGATGCTTTCAAATGATGGGAGGTTGGTTTCAGAAAGCTAGAGGACCTTCTCACATAATGTTTTCATTACAAGCACAATCTCACCAAAAGATAAAATAATGGTTTGGATTTTTAGTGTGTTTATAATTTGTTTAATGCAGAAAAGCCCCTGATGGAATTATTTCATGTGCTGGATTAGTTTCATGTGTAAATCAGCACTTCTTAAAAATAACCTTGTTGAATGAGCTGTACTGATAATAAATAAAATGTTACCAAATGATCAAAGAACTGCAAATAACAGTATTTTAGCTTATTTATAGAAGTCAACTTAACATTCACAACATACTGAATGAAATATAAACAATGTATTACAAGTTAAAGTACAAAATATACATTTAAAGTCCCAACTGTAGCATGAAAAAATATATAAAATGGAGATCTTATGTATATTATGTATATTTACAGTATATGTAAATA